AACAGAAAAAAAAAAAATAGTAACAAATTAAATGTTACCTTCATCACGCCCATCACGGGATGTGCCACCAGATTCGTAACCCATCTTAGGTCACCAACTCTGCAACCCAAAAAAAAAAAAAAAACACTTCATTATTCTGAAATTAGCAATGAAATAACAATTACCCAATAAAATTCATAAGATTATAAATTAGAAAAGAAACTCCTTTACTCTATTCATCCTAAAACTTATTCAAATTGGTGCAATATATAGTACAGTTGCAAATCTTTATACTCCAATTCATTGCAACAAAAGAAAAAGAACAAAGGATGAAAAATAACTCCAGGAAAAGGAAAAAGAATTAAAAAAAAATAGTTCTTTACCCTAATGAACGTTAAGACTTTGAACGTTAGAGGAGAGACATCACAGAGCGTGAGAGTAATGTTTCAATAATTTGTAGAGAGGGATTGCCGGTTTCGATTTTGGGCGTATTTATACAACAGATTTTCTGGCTTTTCTTGTTTCGTCCGGGTTCGCTCTATTGCGTCAAAGTGTTTATTTTTTTGTGTTTTATAAAATATTTGTGTCAAAATTCAAAATATAAGTATATGAATAGGGGAAATAGTTGGAAAATATTTTAGGAAATACATAAGCTCGAATATTATTCTCTGTTTTTATTTAAATTTGAAGTAAATACCACCATAAAATTTGACGATTAATATATATATTAATATATATATATATATATATATATATATATATATATATATATATATATTATTGTTGGTATGTCGGGGTCTATTTGGAAACAGTCTCTTACCCTAGGGTAGGGGTAAGATATACGTACACACTACCCTCCCCAGACCCCACTAAGTGGGATTATACTGGGTTGTTGTTGTTGTTGTTGTATATATATATATAACACATCAGTGTCAACGTCATTATTAATTTTTGACACAGCCGAAACTACAGAAAAATTAACAAGTTCATTAAACCAACATTTAATAAGAGCAAGAGAAATTCCAATGGAGCTTTTAGTATTTTTCGGAATTTCATTACTTGTGGAGCTGTGGAGACCGATGACTCCTCCATAATTACCATGAATCGAACAAATATTCCTTCCTTTAGTTTGTTGATGGAGATTTGTGAAAGTGAGAAGCCAATTAGTTTGTTGATGGAGATTTGTGAAAGTGAGACCAATAACAAAAACACTACTTTCAGAGTTTTATAGCTCGTTTGACCAAGCTGCAAAAATCAGTTTATCTTGACAAGTGTTTTCTTTTTTAAAAGTGCTTTTCTCAAAAGTACTTTTAGTGAGAAGCAGTTTGTGTTTGGCTAATTAGTTTGAAAAGCATTTCTGAGCAGCAATTAGTGTTTGGCCAAGCTTTAAAAAACTGCTTCTAAGTGTATTTTTCTCAAAAGTGCTTCTCAAAAAAATGTTTTCGGAGAGAAGCTATTTTTTTCTGTTTCTCCTCAAAAACACTTTTTTTCCTTCCAAAAGCTTGGTCAAACACCTTAATTTTTGGCCAAAAGTGCTTTTGACCCAAAAAAAAGCACTTTTGGTCAAAAAGAAACTTGCCCAAACAGGAAAAGAAAACCAAATGGGGGTGGGGCCGGCGGGTGAGGGGAAAAACAAAAGGAGATGTCTCTTTTGTTTTTTACTTATTTTATCTTTATCTTTTTTATTTTATATTCTTTCTTATTTTAGTTACTTTTTTTCTTCTTCTTATTTTAATGATTTATTGTTCAAAATATTTATATTTATGCTCGTTGTCCGCGTGAATTATACTTATTCTGTCCAGCTCAACTGTTTTGCTGTTACATGTGTTTGGTCAACGGTCAAAGGCATATAAAATTCACATTCTGATCGAGTTTAAGATAAAAGCTTATATTAGAATGTAGAACTATTACAGGGAGCCATAAAGGGTGTGATAAAATATGAAATTGGGGCAGGTCGGGTCCTTTTAAGAATGGGGAGCATTTTAGATTTTTAAGTCTCTAAATAGGACTCTAAAGTGTCCTTTTCTCCTTAATTAATAATTTAATTAATCCCCTTAATCTATCTATCTATATCTATACTATATTATTAAAAGCACGAAGCGCCTATCAAAATGTTGTTAATCTTTATTACCTTTGTAATTACATTTTAAATTAGATATATGTCACGACCCAAACCGAAGGGCCGCGACGGGCACCCGGTGCCTTACTCAACCGAGTACCAACGTAACATATCTTTCTTATCATGTTATCATGAGTAAATGAGCCAGAAAATCCGTCATGAGATAACAAGAATAAAACATAAGGGAATACTCAACATGTGAAGACCCAACATGATACACAAACTAATATACGGGCCTATAAGGCCGACATGACCATTAGTAAACTCGAAACATAGGCTGGCAAGGCCATACAATTATCCATACACTTGACATATGTCTACAAGCCTCTAAGAGTACATAAAATCATAAAGGCCGGGACAGGGCCCCACCATATCAATCAATACATATCCAAAGCATACTGACCAAATAGGCAACTCCGGAGCAAGTGGAGTGCACCAACACCTTCGCTGAGCTGATAGCCTACTAGGAGGACTGTCAACCTATCAATCGGAACCTGCGGGAATGAAACGCAGCGTCCCCAGGCAAAAGGGACGTCAATACGAATAAAGTACCGAGTATGTTAGGCAGGAAGGCATAAACAAGAATAGTAATGTAAAGAGAGAGATAGAGGAGATACAACCTGTAACATCTGAGTGCCTCTAGGGGTTACTGATATGAAATGCATAATACATATATATACATAAACTTTTTAAAACATTCACCTCTGTGGGCATCATCATCATCATATCGTACCCAGCCTCAAAGAGGACTCGGTAAAAGCGTACCCGACCATCATAGGTTCGGTAGAATCGTACCCGGCCACGTGGAGCTTGGTAAACCCAATTGATCAGTGGTTGCACAATATGTGTCGTACCCAGNCCAAATATAATCTCATTTCCGAGCTTACATCAATGACTTATGACGTACTCTCACGTATGAAAACCTGGGGTGTAACAATATAATTGTAATTGTAATCACTAATAAATTTTTATTTTTTGGAAAAAGCCAAAAACTGCTCAGTATTTAGGTACGTGTATTTATTAGATTTTTCTTTTGCTTAGGGTTAGGATTCTTCATTGTCGTATGGCTTTTCCTTAGGTTTAATTCTTTAGGTTTTTCTTTCTTTAGGATTGTGCCTTTTCTTTGTTTAGGTATGCATAAGTTCAGAGTTTATTATGCAAATCACAGAAGTTGCGGATTGATGCAAACATGTTAGCGATATCAAAGAATAATGATCGCTAAAGATTTTTTCTTTTGGAAGCTTGATTAATTTTTATAGGTAGTTCTTCTTTAACTATATATAATAATTTTTAATATTTTATTATTTTACGTTGGTGTTTAATCATCTTAATTAATCAACAGGGTTTTGTAAACTTTGTTGCATTGGCTGGAATTGCAACAGTAACTCGCCAACAAATCTAATAATCTTCTGGGAGAAGCGAAAAGTTATTATCGTTCTTACTTTTATTATTCAATTTAATTTTATGAGATAGACCTTATAATGTTTTGTGTTGTGCAAGAGTTGCTGGTAATTAAATTATTTAATCATCAATTACACGATAATTCTAACTCATGTTTAGAAGTTAAAATTTTCATATTTAGAATAAGTATGAGCTGAATTCATATTGAGAACCTAAATTTTTTATATTTTTTTTCTTATTTGTAAATTTGATGCTAGCAAAACTTTAAGTAAATTTCTAAGACTCTAGATATTGCTTGACGTAAAAGTTACAAGTAATGACAGCTTGTAGGTGGCTACAAACTCTTGTTTGAATTTGAATAATAATAAAACTATACATTACATTGCTAGTCTTATGCTTCTCAAACAACCTTTAGATGATTCATGGATAACTTTATTTGCACGCTATTAGTTTTGTTGCCTTTAAATTTATCCTGTATATATTAGGTCTGGTATCACAATATAACATATTATTATTCATATAATAAAAAAATTATAATTACAAAGACTATATAATGAACTTACCTAATTTCTTCATCTTTGCAAGTTCGGAAGATACTCAATTACGAATTCAAGTATCACGTAACGTAATACGAGCATTTGTTTTTCTATTTAAAGTAATGTTGCATTTACCTCGATGTTGATTGTACTATTATACAATTTATTCATATGCTATACATTTTATTTATTGATAGCAATGTTTTAAAAGGCGGGCGTGAGGCGAGGCGAGGCATTTTACCTCTGACGAGGCTAGGCATAAGCCCTGAGACATGGGGCATAAGTCCCACAGATCTTTAAATTTTTCTAATTTCAATAATTTTAAGATAATATAAAATAAAAATAATTATAAAAATTACATTAAAATCATAAAATTATACAAATAATCTATTTAAAATATTCATAAACTATAATTCAACTATGAATAATATAAAAGTATGACATATATCATAATATGCAAATTAGCTACAATATCGTTACAACTCAAAAATCTAAAGTATGTATTCGATGCGAAATCTTATATGTATCTCTTAAGGAGTAATGAATCTTGAAAGAATTTCAATATTGTAATTTGATATATTTTTTCTAAAATACTCCTTTTATTTAATATGCTTTCTATTTGAAAGAGAATTTATATAAAAATATTATTCAAAATTTAAATATGATTCTCTAGCATCATTTATTTTTAAGTTTCAATAAATTAATAAAATGACACATAATTCACCATACTATATCATGATAACTAATTATTTGTAAATAGTTACTAGCTAATACTGAGCTATTAAATTAATAAGTATTTTATTTCGTAAACATGAAAAATTATTATAAAAAAATTTGGACTAATATAATAACGACATAACAAAAGTTAATAAATAAATACTTTTAAATTAAAGCTTTATTTAAAATTTATTATCATAGCAATCTTAGCGGATAACGTGCAGTAAATTTTATATTAATTATGACATAAAATACTTTCAAATTAATGATTTATGATTAAGAAAAAAGTAATTTTGAATAGTTAACGATTTATTAAGAAAATTTGAGGATTTACAAGGTTAGTTACGTACAATTACATAAAGTTCTATTAGGCGAGCCCCGTACGTAAGGCGTTGGGCGTGTCCAGAGAGTAAGCCCGACGGCCGAGACGTAAGTGTCACTAAACAAAGCTCCACACATAAGCCCATGGAAGTTTTACGAATGCTCTATCCCAGGGCTAGTCCCGCGACGTCCGAGATCCCGAACGAGGGTGGGTTATCTTTTTCTCTTTTTCATATCAGAAATCAATCAGTTGTCTCATAGTAGGGACTTGATTAGTTGTTTGGTTGTATAGTTAAGCTTTCCACATTTGCTTGCTGGTCTTTTCTCAAAGAGTAGCAGCGCCACCAGACAATTCCAAGAATTGCTCCTTATTGGTACGTATATCTATGACTAATAACTCTCAGCTCCAGTTTCCATGGTATAATCATCACTTTTTTGTATTCACAGAATGGGTCCTGCTGAAAT